AAACTCTTTACGGTGCCCAATTAACGTTATCAACTCAGTTGATAATACTTAATTACCCAGTTATACTCTCCCACCGACCCAGCACCACAGTTTCTTTCGAAACTTACCCCCTGTATTCATTTATCCTATTACAAGTTGGTACGGTGTATTACTCAAGGTGTACGGTGTATTACTCAAGGTGTAGACACTTAAATATGTTTCATTTCCTGATAATCTTTTCGACCAGCACTTCTGTACCTTCGAGACGGTGGCTGCTTTTCAAAAAAGAATATATGATCGGTTTGTCAGTTCCAGTTTAAAACGCGTGGTCTTCTCGTCTCTGTATAACATGCGTATCACGCTAAACATTGCTCAAAGTCAAGAATGAAAAACGAAAAGAAACTTACCCTACGATTTCAATCGGACTCTCGTGATTAAGTGGTTATGCTCCTTTGCAAGGCACCGAAAAGAGTGTCGTTGATTTAATTTATGTTTCGAAATCTAATATCCAGCGGACTGAAGCTGTTGACGGAAGTATAAATGAAAGAGATATGGACACGTTGGTAGCGGACAGAAAGACTATATCCGTTTTGTGGGCGTGACGTATATCCGAATCCGGATTAAAGTGGACCCTGGTCAAGCGAATTAAAGCTGCAAGTCAGGTGGACTGTACATCTATCAGGGAAAGCTTAAAATTTTTCGGTCAGCCTCTATCACATATCCTCTTCAACGTTTTGTTGATAACGTCGGCTCTTACTGACTCCGCAAGAGTTAATCAGATCGCTTTATCAATTCGCTCGTTTAGCACTCCACGAAAAGATACAATAACCGGAGGTCTTTTTAGGAAAAGTGTCACGGTATTTTCGGAAATTTGGTTTATTTTGGTTAATTCTGAACATAACCAGACTTAATTTTCAGCATGCTTTAATCAAATAAATGAACGCCATCCACTGCTGTGTTCTTAAACTTTTCCCATTCAACCGCTCCTAACTTTTGTTATGCCTCGCTGAGGCCTGATAGTTTTTAACCCGGCTATTACGAGGTGTAAGTCAACTCTGATCTGTAACTGTTAAAACTGAAATTGGATGATCCATACCCTTTAAAAAACTCTAACGTTTCTCCTAACTCCTCTAAAAATTGTATCGTAACTAATATGTTGGCCTGAACTATTTTGAGATACAAATCTTAAAGGGAAGCCCATGCGATCTACGACATTTTATATACGTCTAGGATTGAAGATTTATTTTCAATTTTTTAATCTGAAATGCTCTGGGGAACTTCAATATATTTTCAGTTTCCTTTCGGTTTCTCTGCTCTATATTTCTGAATATCATGCACTATTGTATCCATTCACTTTTCTCAGCTGAGAAAAATCTAAAGGTTCGATCCACCAAGTACAAGAGAGAACGTGTTTTCAAATATCGAGTAGGAGAACTTGTTTTCCAATACTGAGAGTGCCCAATTTAGAAAAGGGGCGTCAAATGTCACAGCACTGTCAATAAATAAGCTCTAGTGTTAATCCCCGTTTTAGATATAGCACAGCAACGGAAGCAAGGTAGTTTAAAAGTAGTTTAAGCCTGACTTTGGCATTGGCAGTCAAGGTTTACAACAAGGCTCAGCGAAAAGCAATGGGTGGCGATACACTCACCTTACACAACTGTTTGAGTCTCAAAGCATAGCAGAGGAAATACTATCGGTATCAGGCTTAAGCTTATGCAGAGTTAGGATACGTGGGCCTATTTTCGCAGCGGTTTTAGGGGGTGGGAGTAAAAGGGATTAGAGATGTTTTGCAACCTCTAACTTAAAGGAAGCATGTGCTTGCAAAAACATTTTGTTTTTTTAATCACCTTCATTGAATAGCGCTAAAAGAAATTTACCACTAACGTCAACTGAGATTCTAAGGAGTACCGGAATTTGTCCTCAAATTAGCAAAGAAATTCGTTTATAAACAGAGCCATTTTAAAAGGAACTCAGTAGCCCTGCCGCGTTCCTCTCTCCCATCCTGCGCACACGTCAAATGGAGAAATCCCTGACGAGATGCTTTTTTCTTTCATGTGGCCAAATAAATGCTACAGAGGAATTTATCAGTATCTACCATTACGGTGTGGCTGTATGCCGAGCAGCCGGGCAATTCTCAAAGAATCTCCATTAAAAAAATTCTTTAAAACTTCTTGAAACTATCAGATGTTTGTTCAGAAATGTCGAGTGATGTCCAAAAATAATAATAGATATAAAGGGAAACATTCATTATGCGTAGTTTTGGAAACAAAGGGAGAAGAATAAGTCTGGTTTACCACGTTCATATTAAGAGAGCTCCGGATATTTCTGACAAGCTTTCACTCTACAAAGCATACACAATAATGATAATTCCATTTTTTAATTTTTTTTTTTTGCACCAAAGTAATGCTAACCTTGAATTCGCTTTAGACTTCCGTTTCTGGAGTACAATCAAAAGCCCCAAAAATAAATGAATAAAAAAATAAATAAAAACAGAGAGAAAGACACAAGTATTAACCCTATTTCCATATAACACTTTTTTCGCCATCCTTTGTTTAATAAATAAGAAAAGCGCTTTATAGACTTAAAGCGCAAGCGAAGTTTTCTCTGCGATAGGAAGTGTTCCAGGTTGTCGATCAATTTAGTTAGTTACATTTACCTTTCTATTGTAGTAGCTTCTCTGTTCACAGAAATTCGATGCGATGAGGAAAGCAAGTTTCCTTTCCACGAACAGGTTCGACGAAAGTCATTTTAATATTATCACAAAAGATGGTTTTGAAGCCAGACTAGGTTTATATTATCAGATGGAAATACGGAAGTAGACGAACGGAAGACATTTGCGACGTGTGAAGCCTTTTTAGTATCAGTACTCATTCAAAGAGCATGCAAATCAAACGAAAACGAAGCCGGAAGACAAAAAATATCCAATGAATTCATTAACAAAAAATGTCGCTTGAAGAAAATTGAGAACAAGGAATTAGGAGCTTTTAACTGCCGCTAGTTTGATTTGGCTTTTTCAATCCCATACTGACGACATTAATGTCAAAATAGATCTCGACAGTCGAAAAAAAATTAACTTTTGGAAGCCGAACCAATATACATTGATTCAAGTTAGTGGAAATAACTTAGTTAGAAGTAACCAGGTTTGAAGTCGTATTTAGCTGTACTTTGATCAATGATACTTATCGGATAAACAAACAAACCGAAAATATTTCTGGAAAGGTAAAGTGAACATAAATATTATAAGGATAAAAACAAACTGAATTATAGATACGCAAGTGAAGAGGAACATTCGCCAAATTTATTTCATCGTCTACTCAAGACCTCTTTCTATTCGAACAGTTTATGATCGATCTCAGTTCATGCGATCATACAAAATTATGATTGATTATAGATCTAAAATCAAACCATTTAAGGTAGCAATCTACTTGTAAAGCGTCTGACATATCAAAAAAGACCAAGTTCAACTACATCAAACATACGATATGCAGAATTTGTTGAGTTTTTTGCGTGGGATGAAGATCAATTTATTCAACTGACCGATGTATTTTATCGGCGCCATTTAAGATTTCTAGCAACTGTAAATTAACAACCACAGCAGAACTACTGAATCAAAAATAGCGGCAACAAAGTTTATTAAGAGCTATGAGTAGCAAAGAACAATACTAAATACCTCCCCTCACCTAAAGGAAAAATTCCCACCCGTTGTCAATATTAGGTTTTTTAAGACCATCTCTTTAAATCAACATGGAAATACGCTCTCTGAAATATGTAACACACAAAAATTCTAAATTTAGCTCTAAATAGCCATGAAACTTTGCCAAATACACTCAAACCTAACTTTACATCCACGGAAATGCCCTAGTTAAAATCGAGTCCCGCTGTCGCTTATGGTAAATTCGGGATTGTGGATAAATTGCCATTGATTTAGGTTTATCTAAAAAGACGTCATCAAACTCAATGGTGTAGATCAATTTTATACCATACAAATTAAAATTTAATTGTAGATACCTTAGAACGACGCCAAAAATAGCTTCTCCAACGCAGGTTTAGTAAAGATGGCTCAGCGAGGGAACAAAATAAGAAAGCACAGCTTGGACAGGATATAGAGGATAAAAAGTTGTGAAGGTAGCGTGGGCGAGACGAGATGCCTCTTTGACGTCACCATCACGTCAAGAATAAGACCGTATCCATGGCAGGCTTTCTATCAGTTTCCAAGCAAACAAACTGAGGACGCAATTGTTCATTCAATACCCAGACGGCTGTTATGGTTCAGAATTCAGTGTCAAATGGAGCTGTGTTTGCAGACACACAGTTGAATTCGGGCTCTAGTTTACATTGGTTCTTTGAAATTAAAGGAGCGAATCAAAAATGAATGTATATTGACTCAGCAACTCTAAATTAAAGAAATTAAAGACACAAAAGGAAGCAAACGAAACCGTTTCATAAACCAAGTGCTAAAACCGGATCAAGAGCTATTATCAGCAACACAGACATGTACAAGGGGCGATGTAGGGGGGGGGAAGAGGGGTTAAAGAAAATGGAAGGGGGGGTTGGGGTTGCCATTTCCTCCCCACCTGCAACACTGGGATTCAGGCTTGTTTTATTCTATTGAAACGAAACCTCGTTATTTTTACAGTTACAAATGAAGTACAGACCCTAGGCCAGTCGAGGCGAGTCGTGTGAAGAGAACAAAAGGAAATTCCGCGGAAACTTTGTTGATGCCTATTTTAGGACAAGGCATGAAGAAAAAACGATGCTGCTTTTCTTACGTTTGATTTCAAACAAAGAGCACGTTTTAGCTAGTTATTTTTCGTCATCTTGCTTTGTGTGAGCTGTACCCTGGACTCGCCTCTTTAAGAAAACGCCCACAGAAAACGTGGAAACCCGGCATTTTGCAGGCGGTTAAAAGGATTAATGCAATGGATGACTAAAAATAATGGCTTTTAGACTTATTTGGATAAAATTCAATGTTTCTCCATGAAATCCATATTTTACGCATGTTTTGATGCACTTAAAAGAACTATAACATCAACGAGTCAGCAATCATCGTAAAACTTCTCGACATTTTCCATGAGTGCGATAAGAGGTACAGCATTATACGGAAAATGTCCCCCGGATAACAGCCTCCTTACTGACATTCGCAGTCGAATCAGCATCGTCATAACTTTATCTAAAACCTTGCATGACTTGTCTGCAACACAAACAATATGACTCGCGTTTGCGACAGACGAGTCAAATGTTCCCACGCTGTTGTTATCAAAGGTCATCGAATGTAGTTCGCAGCTGTCGGAGCCCTCAAAAACACAGTCAGCCGTTGTCTCTGAATTTTCACTTTGACTTTCGATTTCCATGTCGGATTCGTCGCTTGAATAGTACGACTCAAGAATGCTTTTCAAGCCACCAAGGTAATCACTGTCATTTCTTCCCAAGCGATGATCCGTAGAACGAATTTCTGAACTGTTCTTTGAAATTGTGTCAATGCGAATATGGTTGTAAGGTTGTTTGCCCTTTAGAGAAGGAGGAAACGTTTTTAACATCTGCGCGCCAGAACCTTCCTGCGAAGACTCAACATCCTGTTCAAGCTTTCCGCATTCATTTTTTCTTCGCCTTTCACTACACGTTTCCAAATCGCCGTGTATCGCTTTGTCCTCTTCTTCATCGATTTGTCTGTAAGTCGCCAACGATTGGGTGAATTCTGTCCAATCACTGACAACAAAGCGTAAATATTTTGTCAGATACTCCAGAAATCGCGTCTCTGATGAAATAAGAAGATCGAGAAGTAACGAGGGATCAAACCCAACTGATTCGGTGAAAGCAGCAAACAACCAGTGCGGGTTCAGCTGTTGTAAAATTTTCATGGAAATTTCATCGCTTGAAAAATTCCTGAAAATAAATTTGGCAAAGAAAATGTTAGAAGAAAAATATACAACGTTTTACACAATTGGAAGTAAAAAGTAAATAGACTGGTGAAACAGAGGAAGAGAATAATGTTTTATTTCCACCCGTGGACTGTTGAAAAGAGAAAGTCACTTTAAATAACCCTTAAGGACACAAAATTTGAATGTGAAATCGATCTTCGCAGTAATGAACACTACTTAAACAGTAGTGAAAATAAGGCCTGAAAATATTCAGGCCTGTACGGGATTTGAACCCATGATCTCTGCGATACTGGTGCAGCGCTCTACCAACAGAGCTGGTCATTACGTTGGTTCGTAATAAACCTGTGAAGTGGTGAATCAATGACTGTGAATATGAAAATCATATTTAAGTGAGCTGCGCATTAAGAAATGTATATGAAATTGATCCTGTACAGGCCTAAATATTTTCAGGCCTTATTTTTCACTACTGTTTAAGTAGTAAAAAAAGCACAGCAGAGCATCATGCTTCATAAGATCACGCATGACCAGTCGACCTCATCGCCTGAAGAAGACTAGTAGTATGCAGTCGAAACGTCGCGATCTACATCACACGTGACTACATCTTGAGACAAACGAATAAGTTAGCTTTTATTGTTTAAGTAGTGTTCATTACTGCGAAGATCGCTTTCTTATTCATTTCTTGATCTACAGGTCACATATATGATTTCCATGTATTCATAGTCATTAAAACAAAATTTGAAGTAAACGTGTACTTACTGAATAAATTTATATAATTTATATGACACCAAGTACTTCTCTTGCAGTTTTACGTCATTGTTACCTTCGCTTCCCCTGCCGGATTTGTCGCTTGAACAATAAGGCTGTGAACAGTGCGGCTCTAATCAACACTTTTCAAGCTGCTAAGTTGATTGACACTGATTTTCTAAAATATAACAACTGGAAGAGTGGGATGCAAAGCCTTAACGTTGCCCTTAAGGTAAGTTTCACTCCAAGGACTGTTGAATCTCCAACCCTCATCCATACGAAAGGAAGTGAAAGTTACCAACAACTGCAAACCACAGCTGACTTTAAAAGACATAACATCCTCCTAGGAACAAGGGCCCACTAAAAGACCGCCAGATATTTTCCCTTGCAATTTTTGTAACAATACCCGAAGGGGTTTACTTATTAAATACACATTTTAAACAAGATTTCAAAACTCTCACTTGTGAAGTTCTTGAAAAAGCAATAGGAGAGCTAACATCAACTCAACAAGTTCATCATCCTGGTCAACAAACAGTGCTATGAGACTGGTGGAGAGTTCTGTTTCAATGGAATTCTGTGCAGATGACTTGCTGTTGAAAGGATTACCACAAGCAAGAGAAAGAACATCCCTGCAACACAGGTTCACACAAGATAAAGACAGCTTCTGGAATAAAAATGAACCTGAAAAGACACATGAAATAAATAAATATTACCATCAATAGTCTTGCTTCTCTGAGCCTTAATCATCTCTACCCTCAACACCCTGACAACATTATGGATATTCCCTTGCTCCATAGGCAGTTCCTAAGGTGCTGAAATGGAGAATTTGTGTAGTTGGTGATCATTTCCTTTATTCTCATGACCTTAATATGTGAGTCAGGGTTGATAATGTAGGGAGAAATTAGATTCTTGTCACTCTTAGAGGTCAAAGGGTTAAAAGTAATGCAGTTTGCCACTCAAACCTGTACATACCCTCCTGCTGAACAGCTGATTTTAGCACAATGAAAGCAGATTTGAAAACCATTAGTGAAGCTTTCCTCAGAGCTAGTAAGTCAGTCCTTTCTGTCTGCCCAGTAAGTCCTGGATGACTTTTTATTTCTGTTCCACTGAATCCCACAATTCCTGAGGGGTTCCTGGGTTTTCTGGCGAGGAGACAACACTCAACAACACTCAGGAAAGAGACTGAAGGGCTCCTTAAGATTTTATGTAATTTACTGTCTTTATTTTCATGTGTAAACAATACTGAGCTTGGAATAAATAAGACATTGTACAAAATCTCCAAAATCTTTTTAAAAATCAGCGGTGGAAGTCTTGGGTGGTGAAGGTACTGGGTCAACATAGCTGTAACAATGCAAAACTGATTGACAGTATCATCTATTGTATCAGTACTTATCATTCTTGTTGCAAAGATACTACTGGAGTCCCATTCATACAGTTTGGCTGCTATGTGTCTGCTACCATTGGTTGACCCAAATTCTTGGGGTCCCAGGAAAGAATATTGTTCTCCAATGCAGCTTTTCAAATCAGTTACTTCCTTATTTAGACATGCTTCAAAGTTGAAATTCATGTATTTTGCAATTTCTGCCATAAAATGAAGGAAGGCAAGTAGGTTATTCTCTTTTGCCCCAAAAATGGCTTCTTTCTTCACATTTTCTTGTTCATGGATGGCATCTCCTAATTTCAGACTAGCCCAAAGTACAATGAAGTCTTCAGCTAGCCCTGTATGTTGACAGTTCTTCATAAAAGAATACATTCCATTGGGTCGCACAATTAAAGGAACATATAGAAAAAAAATATGTCTTAAATTAACACTCCCCAAAAGTACCTCTACTAATTCATTTCTTGAAAGACTAGTATCTGTTAAATTATTTTCAGGAGTAGTGCAGGAGCAGGTGTGACCGACTGTGCCTTCTATACGTTGCTGATAATTCCTAGGACTCTTTGGTGTCTCCCGTGCGTTTTTGAGAATATTTTGTAACATTTCCATGACATAAAGCTTTTTCCAAGGATACTCAGTTTCTTTCCCGAAGTCAAAGAGTTTCAGAAACCACTCGCCTCTTATAGTTTGCTTAGAAACCACTTGAAAAACCAACACAATCGCTTTAGTTGCAGAGAACACAACATGTTGGTTGCTATCGCCCAGAAGTTTTAAGAGACAGTCTAGTAAGTCGTATTTGGAAACAAGATCATCTGTTATGACTTTCAAATATGGGCAATTAATAGTTTCAAACCTCTGATAAAGCTTCTGAACTACAGTTAGAGCCAGTAGTAAGTTATCCACCATTGCATGATTTATCGTGAAGATTTCAGAGATTTGTAGCCAGTTTACAAGTGACCTCCAAATTTCTTTCGCACACATCTCCTTGAAGCAATTGTAAGTGAAAGCTTTAAAATATAGCCCTTCTAGTTTATCCATAACCTTCAATTTACCTATAAGGAAATCATTTCAAGAGAAACAACAGCTCACGCACAACCGTCCACCATATTACTGTCACAATCATTTATCCTTACACGATGTAAACAGGGCAACCGCTCTTTCACTTTCTTGCTTTCTGGTCGACTGCTGGCTCATAAGAAAGAACACATGCGCAGTATATACTTCCTGTTACAGCACTTTAATATTTTGCGTACAAAATGTCCGGTCCGCGCAGACCACCTCCTCCCATACCAAAACCAGGTATGTGCTGAAATACACTGATTTTAGCTCATTTCGCGAATTATTCATGTTGCTTTTCTGTTTAATTTACAGGTCACGTTCAAGTCGTAAGAGCTTTGTACAATTACACAGCTCAACAGGTAAGGATCGTGTAAAAAAATTTCAATACTTGAAAGCTTTCGAAAGTTTGCCGTAAACAACCGCTTTGAATAATGTAGTTTTAGAAAATGATCGCGTAAATTAGTTGTTATTTTAATACTGTCTTGTGTTCTTTTGTAGCCAGATGAAATCAGCTTCGAAGAAGGAGATATTTTGTACATAATCGACAGGGTATGGACATAGTTCCCGGTATTCATATGTTTATTTAAAATGTATCGCCTGTTTTGTATTATTAAGTCTCATATCGTTGAAGAAGGGCGCACCCAAGATTTCCATTACCACCTAGCCTTGATTTTAGGGGTTTTATTTTATACTTCAGATTTTGAATCGGCTGGAAATCGAATCTATGCCTTCAGCTAGCTTTTATTAGCGTGGAATTGAGTAGAACTATGTTAACGACCTGTATCGTTTCTGAGCAGCTTAGTGGTGTACAGGAATGTACATTATTCCATTGACCGTGCAGATCTTAATATCACTTCAAGTGCAACAATTTCAAACAAAAACTGAACTTTCTAAGTTGCTAGATTTTGATGTTTTAAGATTTACCATGGAACCATATGCTTCAGCACAAGGTTCTGTGGAAGAGACTTTAGGAAGTTAATCCGCTACAGCCTTGTAGCAGTTGATCCTTTGCACCCAAAAATGGGTATCCATACTCCCCATACAGTCCTTTGAACATTTCCTGTGGTGCTGATATGGAGAACTTGTTTAACAACCAATGGCTTCTTCAGTTGGTGATCATTTCCTTTATTTTTGTGACCTTAATGCTTGATTCAGGGGGGATATTGGAAAGAGATATTAGATGCTGGTCACTCTTAGGGGTAATGTCTGTTTTGTTACACTGAATTTAATTTTGGCATGAAATCTTGATTACATGTCTGTAACAAGATTATTCATGTTCAAAGATCTTATATATTCCCTTTGTCAACTCTTGATTCTGACACCTTCATCAAAATAGGGCACTGGTCCATGGTGGAAAGCAAAAGTTGGGGGCAAGACAGGATTGATACCATCTAATTATGGTGAGGGCTCATACTTTCAGTCAGATACATTATAAGAAGAATTAATCATGTTTACATTCTAATCATTAGAGTTACCTTTCAGAACTTTCTTATCAACTTTCAGTACAATGGGGTGTATTTTTTTATGTTGTATGATGTTAGGAGCCTGTTTGCATAAATTTATCCTTTTGGGATTATCATGTTTCAGTTGGTGAGCACACTGAATCAGTAGAAAATCCTCTACATGAAGCAGCAAAAAGAGGTAGTAATATCTGTGTATCCATAACTTGTATGTGCAGTGAATATTAAAGAATTTTAACTGTATTGCTCGATACACAAAAAGATTGACAAGTGCTTGTATGTATAACCATTCCTACTTGCCAATACATGTCTGAATTAAATTGATTTATAGTAGTTGTGAATTAAGAATGAATACAGATGAGGTTTTTAGATAATGAATCCATTTATTTCCAGCTATAAAGCCAACTAAATACTCCTTACTTCTATCTTCTCAGCCAGTAATTTTGTCTGATCCACATGAAGTGTGTTGTAGTTGAGTTCTAGTCAGGTTAGTCAGAAAGAAGAAGGAGTTAGACATTTTCAGTTGTTAGGATTGTATGTTTACTTCTTGTATATAATCAGCAGCGTGATAGTCAGAAGTGTTTTAGCATGCACTACACCATGCTGTTAAGCATCATGCATCAGCAGTTAGCTTCTTGCTAGGATTAAGTCTGATGCTTTCTTTCAATAGCAAATCATACATTAACCCTTTAGGTCATAACATCAGCATACATATTCTCCTTACTGTTCTCTATACATTTCCTATAGTGTTGACAAGGAGAATCTGTATAACAATCGAAAGCTTCTTAAGTGATCATTTCTGTTACTATTGTGTCCTTAATTTGTGATTCAGTGATGATATGTTAAGAAGAAATTAGATGTTTGTCATTTTTAGGGATCAAAAGATTAAGAAAGAATTCTAAATATCAAGATCTTATGAGTAACTATTTTATAAAATCAAGATGATAAAAAGCATCATTCTGTTCTGGTCACTGTTTAAAAGGCAAAGACGCTGGGGCTACTGAACATTTCAGTCTTATTCAATTATTTCTAGGCAACATCGGCTTTCTTCAGGAATGCCTTCAAAACAAAGTAAGATCATCGCATTTGTTTTTTCACTAGATTTACTTACAACCAGAACTGTTTAGAAAATGAGTTCTTAGAGGAGCTCATATTAAATAACAAAGCACTGACAAGGTTACAAAATAAGCCATCAACTCTCGCAATTGCTAACAATCTCTATGCAGAAAAATGTGCCAGCTATTCTGAATGCTTGAGGTAAGGTTTTCAGCATGGAGGTGTGACATTGTGCCTCTTGTCTTGTATCACAGTGTGGTTAAACTAGAAATCCTCTTGAAAACCCTGCAAAGGAATAATTTTCTTATGGTGTCATTTTTTTTATTTATTTTTTTTATTAACTTTTGTTTGCTCTACAGGTATCAGTCAATGGCCTTGACAAGGCGGGATCCACCCCTCTTCACTGGGCAGCACAAGGAGGACACACAGGTATATATCTATCCTTTTCAATGTTATGGAAGTTCTATGGCTTAGAGGCAAACTCGTGATTTCGTCTCTCACTATAGTTTACAGTTACTCTAGGCAAAATTTAGCAAATTCCTTTAATCATGACTCAGACTATGACCTTTTATCTCTGAAATAACACACATTTCCTGTGAGGTCCAAAGCATGATTGACAGTAACATAAACTGAATATTCAATGATACATTTCCAACTTCTTTGTCTGCATGTTGCTGATATGAACAGAATGGTTTTAATTTTATAGAGCATAGTGTGACAACTAATGGTTTTTACTTCATGACTGATTGGGACTCAGGTAGTAGTTTTTTGATGAATGTAATGTACTTTTATAATTCAAAACAGAATGTGTAAAGATATTACTTGCCCAGCCAAGAATTCAGATATCAGTTCAGGTATGTTCTTTCATTTGGCTTGTTAAATTAAGCTGACTTGATGCAACTTGCAAATTTGATTTTATTTTTATGGGAGTTATTAATTAAGGTGAACTTGATACTAATTTTCTTGCAGAACAAGCTGGGAGACACCCCTTTGCATTCAGCTTCATGGAAGGGTCATCCAGACATTGTGGAGTTACTGCTAGAGCGAGGTACTGAACATTGCAATCTTTAGTAAAGGATAGGGAGTGATAAGGAAATTGAAAGGGTTAAACCCTGATTAACTAATGCTTTTAATGAAAAAATAGGGGCAAGAACAGACATACAGAACAATGAAAAACAAACTCCTGCTGACCTAGCAAGAGATCCAGATGTTGGTAGACTGTTACGAGGGGCTGTTGGTAAGTAAGATTATTTTCTCTACTAATTGTGAGGTCAATGAAAAATTGCATATTTTTGGTTTACTAAAAGAGTTTAAATTAATGTCCAATGAGTGTTACAGTTTAATTTAAGTTAGTGCATAACAGATGCTGCTTCATTTTGCTCTTGACTTGCATTTTATGATGATCAAACTAAACAATACCAATTAGAAAGTGTCCTTTATGTCTCAGAAGCCCCCAGTGCAGACGATTATGGTGAAGAAGAAGATTCTGATTGAGATAACTTGATAAAAGTTTGTTTTAATACAGCAAGAGGAGATAAAACTCATTAGCTAGTAAATAATAATTATGTGAAAGGACATTTTCACATCAGCATTACACCAGCACAGTACAGTTGTTTCATGTCACTGTTTTCATTCTCAGCATGATGTATACTCATAGTAAATTTCTATATTTTTTTCATTAACATCCTTGTCAATCAGTGATGAGGAGGGTATACCTAATCTGTGACAAAAGATACATTTTAACTTTTTTGTGTAAAGATAAGCCTGTCAAACACCTGGTACTGGTTTATGCAGTGAGTATGGTTGGAGGGATAAAAGGCAATTTATATTCTTCAACCTGCTGGCAGTTTGTATACTGCATTATACATTTTAGAATACGTAAAATCCTAGAATACATATTCATTTGATGATAAAAATAATTACTTACAGTGTGGCCATTGTCACCAAGCTTTAATGCAGAAAAAAAGACTAGACTGATCTCAGGAATTTAGGAATGTTAATTCCTATTCATCTTTAATTGTTTGATTGCACCAGCCTGGTAAAGAATTTGCTGATGGTGCAAGGAGAAATTATTATTTAGCTTTTGTGTAGAATCAAAGAAAGCTTACTCATCATAATCATAAGTAAAAGATGAATTAGAAGTTTAACCCTTTTACTCCTGTGAGTGACTAAGAAAAAAATTCTCCTCATTTTAGTATACAATAGTGTTCTCCTTTTCAGGCAGTAACCAGTAACATTTATGGCCTGTAGTACCTCTTATTACCATTTAAAATTGCTTGGAATTCTTGAAAATTCAACAGCTAAAAGGATTGCTTTACCAGTTTGAAAATTTATTTTACCTGTCATGCTTAAAATAGGGGAGAACACTGATACAATATCATTTAGGCAAGTGATGAGAATAAAGAAAAGTATCAGTTATGGGATTACTACTTGATCTGATACCAAATCCTCCAAACTAACATAATGAGAATCATTTGGCAGACAGTAAGGAGAATTACTAAAGAGATCTTGGGAGCTAAAGGGTTAACAATAATTATCAGTAATTTTTCATTGATTTTTTAAGTACAGCATTTTGTATGAGAGAGACAGATCTAATACAGGGAATGAATGGAAATTAACAGTGAAGTTACAAAATTTTCTATAAGAAAAACAAAAATTAAAAAAAATTAATGAGCCAAGTATCCTTCCAGACAGAAGACACTAACAATGTTGTAATATTGTGTATAGAACTCTGTTCTTTACCCCAAACTTGATACACAACTTAATTTTGGAAAAACTTTCAATAAAATAATTTTGCAGACAGCAATCCCTTAGTATTTATTTGACCTTACTTTAACTGGTTACCTAAGTATCAAATTTAATGAGGACATTGTGTGCACATGATTGTTTTCAGCTGTATCTCTCAGTTTTGTTAGTAGAAAGAAAAACTAATAAATTTTTTCGTTTATTCTTAACCATCTTAAGACTGTTCTCAGGGAACCTAATGACAATGATTTTAGCTTAATTTCTTGTGTCAATAAAAGACAGAAGTGAATACACTTGGGTTGTGTGTCATAGAACCTTTTGCTTCTAACTTGTATTTAACCAAATCTAAAAATTGTACAAGTTTTTGTTTGTATTTCTCAACAGTAAATGTCAAACTTTTTCCCTTAAAAAAAAAGCAGAGGCTATGCAGAGATATGGGTTTTGCTTTTCAATTTGACTGACTCAGCAACGAGTTATTCAAGACAAAAGCTGGCGGTTCTAGGTATCGATAGTCTTTAAAGGGTGGATTATACTTGTGGAGGGCATTTATTGCACAAGCAAGAAGAAAATAAACTTCCCAGCAAAATGATCTGAATTTACCAATAAAATTAGTTTCATCATTCCTTATCAATGTTATTAAACATATGTTTTACTTCGCATTTGTACTTAGTTTTAAAAAAACAACAAGTGAATATCAATTTGCCCATTTTTAGTCAGACTACAGTTGAGTTAATTTATCCATCGATTCTTTAAGTCAGAACTTCTTTCGTTACACTGGCTTGAGAAACTAGAGTTGTCTTTGTCTGTTGAATGGGAGGTAAAAAGTGAGGTCTCTGCGGTTGACATCCAGATTGTTCGTAAATTTTCCCTCGGTGATCACCCACGTGCAAGTTGCTCCCGCCATGAGCTCTCAAAGTCTGTTTTCTCTCAAAGGACTTCAATCTTTGGTTTATTTCGACAGCCTCCCGAAGTAACTCATCAAGTTGCTCCTCCGAAAGTGCGTCTAAATTCTCCATTAGATTTTCGTAAGGTTTTTCGGCTAATCTAAGATTATTATCTCCCGCAGGGTTATGACAAATCTTTCACTCTGAACATCCGCAAAAGGGACACTTTACCTTGTTCTGCAAGCATAAACAAGTTCGTTCCTCCTGAAACAGTCATAAATTCCGGCAAGAAGTGTATGTTTATCCCCAACCAAAGGCTACAGCAAATGTCTGCTCAATTGCCGTGAGTCCTTCGCAAACACAAATAACAATGTTTACAATAACTTTTTCAACTCACGCCAGCTGTGAAGATCTCTTGTTCTCGGGTGCCTTGGTTACATCTCATTTTCAGCTTGGTTGAAATAGCCAATCAGAGTACTGGATATTTGCTCCTTTGGGAGTCTTCCAAATATGGACTGCAAGGACAAGGCAAAGTAGAGATATGAATACTGCGCGCCAAAGAGCGAAAGTTTTTAATCTTCAAGGAGACTCACATGAACAACTCATGCGGCCGATTTCAGTGTAGGGCACCCGAATTTCATATCCATAAACAAGGAGAATATAAAACTTTCTCTCCTCTCAGAGAATGGCTCTTTACCGTTAAAAAGTGTCAAAACTTGTGAATACTTCCAACCGTTCGAATATACATCATGGCGGAAGTGGGTATGTTTACTACTACAAATAAAGTAACGCAGAATACAACTCAGATCCACGAGCAGGACGTCGAATTTCGTACTGGAAATGATCCTTGCAAGCACATTTCAGTGACTGTTGAGAATAACGATGTTTTGGGTGAAAAACGTGATGTAAATTTCAACAACAAGACGGCATGTCCCAGAGGACCAGATCAGGGAAATGGAGAATATACTAACTCATGTGCGAATGAACCATTTCAGAGTGAAAATCTCTGGTGTGACACTCAAATTTCGTTAAATACCTCAAGTCTCACTCCAGTTTATCACTGTTCTGGTAGATCGGGATTTGCAGAACAGATGGAAACAGCACCAGCTATTACTTTACCAGATACATCAACTGCAGATCCACATGGTACAGGTTTAATCACGAACACCTCAACGGTGGCCAACAATGACACAAAACCTCTTTATTTCACAAGATCAACAACAATCTCTACACCAGCTGAAAAAGATACCTCGCCCACTACTAACGTTTTGCCCACTATTCCCGAACCAGTAGTTTTAGGGATGATGCCTACCCCTGCATCTTCAGCCCAGATGTTGATTCAAGAGCGTGACTGTGCTGGTACAAATTCATCACCACCTCAAACTGTAATTCCTCAAAGTTTAACCCAAACGCTTATTTCTTTGCCAGAAGGTGTTTCAACCACTGCTGTAACACCAGGTAATCCCAATGCTGTTGCAGAAAATCCAAATTTAATAGCTCAGTCTAACTCAATATCAGCGACAGTCTTAACTGGGTCAAGCGTTTCATCTCTGGTAAATTCAAGTAGTTCTGTGGTGTTCACCACGACCTCAGAAGTGTCAAAAAATTTCGCTCCCGGAGTTCCAGTCCCGGATGATGGAACAGCCACTATAAACAACATCCAAACAGCTGCAAATTCTTGTGCTGAAAACAATGATCCAGCATCTGTTTGTAACAGTTCAAGTAGTCTTCCTGATATTCCAACCATTTTTTCAAACTTTACACCGTGCATCAAATGTAATTCCATTCTTGTCTGTTCCTGCCTTGGACCATCCGGTGTTGAAGGGGATAATGGCAGTGTTCTTCCAACATGTCAAGCTTCCTGTCAAGGTCCTTGTACTTGTGAAGGGATGGAAGTGGATAAAAAAGAAGATTTGAAACCATTTGAAAAAGATGTGAAACCTCAAGAATTTCCTACTCCTATTGTGGTAAGATTTGAAAGAAGGGGACAAATCATTGCTGTTGTTGTGTTTTTTAGATCTTGTGGACAGTGTTACACTAGTAGTGCATTGTATTATAATACTTGACCCTGCCTTGCCCAAGCACACAGTTTTATAATGAGAGTTTTTTCCTTAATTTCCTTGTTGCCATGACTTGACATGTAAAACTGATTTCATACTTAAGACTCTTATTCTTATTAATTTTACATCAATCTCCAAATACAGCTTAAGAAACAAGGTTTTATTTTATCCTCAGCCTTTGGATCGCTTGGATCAGCTCTTTGATGGTTTGATTGAATATGACAAGATTATCAAAGCTGAACAGCCAGAGGTAAAAATATGTACAGTATTGTAAGTGTAAAATTGGTCTCGTGTCTTGGGTCATCTGTATTATTTTTTCTTGAGCAAGATGCTCACAGTACCTCAATCCCCAGAGCTTTAAATAAGTATCAGTTAAATGTTAGGGAAATCTGACAAAATCCTGGTGGACAGAGGGTGGAGTGTAACCTTTGACAAAGGGAGAAGAAAAAGGGGAAGAAATTCTCAGAAATCTTATGTTACCAAAACTAAGATAAGCTGAGGGGCTGTTTTAAACAGGCTCACAAATTGACCTCTCCTTCACCCAAACTATGTTTATTTAATTAATCACATGTGCTTCAAATCCTGTTATCATTCATCACTCAGTAGTTCTGTGGAGTTGTAGTAACTGCACTAAATTGCTGACTTTATGCTTCTTCTTAACAAAATACAGTCTTTATTTTACTAAAAGGCAATTACCACAAGACTCTTCCCATACCAGCTGCAAGCTCTAAACTGGATGATAACAAGAGAAAACAACACTGATCTAGCACCATTCTGGAACAAAGTTAACAACAGCGCATGGTTTAACAAGGGAACCAACAAGTCCACTGACAGAAAGCCACATTCTCCCAAGGGTGGCATATTGGCAGATGATATGGGTCTTGGTAAAACTCTTGTTGTTATCAGCCTGATTATGGCTAATCATCTTAATGGCAAGCCAATGTTTGCAAGGTCATCTAACAAGGTTTGTTACTTTGTGGCTTTACCCTTTAACCCCCAAGAGTGATAAGTATTTAATTCTCCTAACAGTATCACCCCTTAATCAAACATGAAGGTTGTAAGAATAAAGGCAATGATCGCAAACTCAAGAAGCTCTTGATTGTTAATTCTCCTGGTAAGTACCATTGGAAATGTATAGAGAGCAGAATGGAGAATGTGTATACTGGTGTTAGGGTGAGAATGGTAATTATGATTCAGCAAATTTTATAGCATTTCAGAATGTGAATGTTTTGGTTGCCATTTTGACTGAAAAATTTTCGGCTTTTAATTTTGGGCATAAGTGACCAATTTGATGGTATGTTTTTGATGCTCATGTAGCATGTAGTGTATTGATTATACATGTACCTATCTTAATCATTGACAACAACCTTAGTATGGGTTCTAAGGTGAGTACTTTGTACTTAATTCAGTAAATGTACTACTGGCAGTAATCCCACTGTACTGGAAATACCTGCATGCTGTAAAATTACTATAAGTCAGTAAACTCTTATACTTGTATATGTGTAATGTGTTTATCAATAAAGTTCAGTGAGCCTTTGGCAATGAAGAAGGAATAGCCTCTCTATGTCTGAATGACGACACTACATAGCAAGTTGTGATTTTTAATATTTGTGTCATAGCGGAAGGCATCAAGTTCAGGCCAAGATGGAGAATGTAAACATGAACCAGAAGAGAGGATGGCACACAGGGAAAGAATTGATGAAGATGATCCTATGGATATGAAAGGGGAAGTTAAAAAAATAAGCATAAAGAAGCGGAAGAATGTTACAACTAAAAAGAAGAGGTGAGTGTATTTTTGAGTTTATTTAATTCAGTTAACATCTTTAAGATGTTTTCTAAATTAACATGCTCATGCTTCATGATATTTCAGGTTGGCTGACAGTAAGATGTTAAAAGAGCCTGGCTTTAAATTCAGGCAAATGTATCTTTCCAAGTTGTCCAGGTATTTTTGTGCAGACATTATTTTTGTTTGATGATTTTTTTCCCAGACATGTGAGCTCATTTTTACTACCTTTGGAAATAGTATGTGTGGTATTTTAGTTACAGTGGTATATCAGGTAATGTCAATCACTGGAAACACCTTTTCATTTTGGACTCCCAACTTTTGACTTTCAATGTGACACTTTGCCATTTTGCATCATGACATTTGACAAATGATTTTAAAACTTGACCCAAATATGGGACAGAAAAAGATATCTTGAGGTTCATGGCAATTGAAATCTGAGATTTTGGAATTTCATGGTCAGAAACCTTACAAACTATAGAGCTATGAAGAATTTGTCATTGAGCTAGCTAGGTAATCTTAACTGTCTCTTGTTATTAATTATGCCTACAGCAAATCACCAAAGAAGGAAAAACACAAATTAACAAAGGAACTGATGCAACCAGTCAGCATTGACAGTGATTTTAACACTGATGTGGCAGCTGAGTCATGGCTGTCTACAGGCAGTGGCAGTATTTGTGGAAGTGGCAGTGGCAGCGGCAAACCCCTACCAGATGATGAGCATAGTGCCACACTGATTGTGTGTCCATTATCTGTGCTCAGTAACTGGACAGTGAGTACTTAAACACCCTTTCATCTCTTCTTAGCACAACTTGTTGTACGACCTTGGAGCTTGAAACAAAGAATGTAATCATTTCCCTCTTAGTCTTTCCTATATTTCTTAACCTCCTCTTCCCAATTTACATCCTTTTCTTACCCCTCCTAAAATTTTTAGGTTTCCTAGTTCTTCTCTTGATAAATGAATAAAGGGGTAAGTTTCTAAAGAAATCCTCGGTTTCTTAACAACCCCTCCTAAAGCGTTAGCCCTTAGTTTGGTTTCCTAGTTATTCGTTTTCAGTTGTTAACACTAAATTACCTGCTCTTCTCTTGATATACTGTTAATTATTGTTATGAATCACCTCTATTAAATAACCTACACAAGCATTCACTTTGTAGCATTTTACCAATTGAATCAGTGAATCATGCTAAGGGGATCCTAAGATATAATTAATTTTTTTGCTGTGACTTTACAAAAGATGATAAACATCTCAAAACAATTTCACAGTGGCCTCTCCAGCATGTAATTGAAAACAAGACTTTTCCTTTTCCTTCCTAATTTTTTTCGGATATGTAGGATCAGATATGCAGCCACATCCATACAGATGTCAGTTTGCAAGTGTACATGTATTATGGTGCAGAGCGTTTGAGAGATGTGAATTTCCTCAGACAGCAAGACATTGTGTTAACAACTTATCCAACACTGACAAATGATTACAGGCGGGTAAGAAGTACATATGTGGTCAAATATATTTCCTTATACTGGGTTGTTCGAGAAACTGGCCCAAAAGGGCCATGTGGGCCCATTTCCTTGATTTTAAAGGGACCCAAGATAGGGGTACCCATAAAGGTCTTTGAACCTATTTGTATTAGTGTAAACACTGAGAAAACAAAGAAATTGAGACTGTAAGGGCTGATTAATTAAACAAAGTTTAGCTGCTGTTCAACAAAACCATGCTCTAAACTGTCTTCAAATTAGCTGAACCTAAAACCTGAAAATTTATGTTTGTTAATGGTGTCAACAGGGCTGAAAGCTAACATTGGAAATAACTTTTATTTCATTAAATCAACTCTCTCAAAGAGAATACCTGTCACCCACTGCTTGCATAAAACCACAGTTTGGGTTAGATCTCAAGTAAATCACCAGCTCTAAGAGACTGTAAAGTATGAAGGGAGTTTTACAAAGTCACTGTCATATCAATGTTTTTGTTCATTATGTTTGCCTGTATGTATCTAGAGAAAAATTCATGGGCACAATTTTTTGTGCCCTATTTGATGCAAGATGCAAATTCTATGCAGCTTTTTTTTTTTACTTTCAGAAATCCCTCAAAGCTGGGCTGTAAAATGAACCCTGCTTATATTATGTGACAATTTTCCAGTCATTATAAATCAAAAGTGGAAGAATAATTATCTAAGACATGTATTCATCAACATGTGTTACAGTGTTACAGTGTTACAGTTTTAATATACCATGTTGAGCTACACATGCACAGATAAACAACACACCCATGGCATGTGTAGTGCATTTGTTTTCTAAGGGATTACTTCCAAGAGCTTATCGGTGTGTTTTTGTTTTCACACCAATTTTTTATATAATTGTGAGACAGAGCCTTTGAAAGACACAGATTTGAAACAAATTGCAATTCAATATTTTTATTTGCCATTCAGCTTGACTCTCCACTTCATAGGATCAAGTGGCTTCGTGTCATTTTAGATGAAGGTCACACCATACGGAATCCTCAGACTTCTTTGACCAAAGCAATGATTGACTTGGTGGCAAAGCGCCGATGGGTTCTCACAGGAACCCCAATACAGAACAGGTTGGATGACCTGTGGTCTGTGGTCAAATTTTTGCGTCTGGAGCCATTTGATGATAAAAAATGGTGGAATGCTGCCTTGGCATCCAGCGTGAGGAGAGGAGATGAACAGGCAGTCAAGTAAGCTGTGTAATATTTGGTGTGAAAGTGTTATTTCTTTGAATTATTTCATGCCTTGTATATGCTTGTCAAGTTTCTGAGGTTTATTCGGAAATTAACAGATGTTGCTGAGTGTAATTGTCATTTACTTAAGATTTGCTTTTTCTATAAGAGCACACTTCTTATCTCTTGACCCGCCATCTTGTGCTTCCAGTCGCTTACAGAAACTCCTCAAGCACATCTCAATCAGAAGGCTGAAAACAGATCAGGATGATGGAAGACCACTGGTTAAATTGCCTCCCCGAACTGTGGTCATTCAAGAAGTGGAACTGTCGGAAGAAGAACGAACATTATATGACTCCATGCAGAAACACGGACAACTGATCATCACAGGGTGAGACTTTTTGAGGCACTGTCTGTTCCGTTATCTATCTGGTTTGGGTTCATACAGAGTCTAAAACTCCTGGCAAAGCTTAGAGTCAGATAACAGGGTAATTTGGTATTATCAAGTGAGTTGATAAAGCTAATTATTGGCCACCATGAAGAGTTTGAAAGCTGACTTCTCGAGCGTCAGCCTTCGTGCGAATTACCAAGGGCTGACGCTCGAAATGTCAGCTTTGAAACTCTTCACGGTGGCAAATTTACGCCAACAACTCGGTTGATAAAGCCAAATTATCCTGTTATACTCTCCCACCGACGCAGCACCACAGTTTCTTTAGAAACTTAGCCCCTTTATTCCTTTAGCTTTGCCGGATAGCCTCCTTCAAAGCCGTTCTTTGATCTAGCCGTGTAACGGCTCCAGCGGAAGAAGCTGCTAGTACGGGTGGGGGAGGGGTAGGGGAGCGTCTTACCTGACTAGATCATTGAACGGCTGAGAATAAGACTAAAAATTGGATACTTGCAAACTACTTTTCGTAGCTGGAAAAAGTTTGGGAAAAAATGCAACGAGTTTTTCCACTATTTGTTGACAATCGCTTGATTTTCGGGGGAATGTTTGTTAGCCCTGAAATTACGACTGTTTCTATCTCCAGAGAACTTGATCCGAAACTTTTATTCCGTAACAGATATATTCAGAATGGAACAGTCCTCGCCAAGTATGCGCACTGCTTTGCAATTCTCATGCGTCTTCGCCAACTTTGTTTGCATCCAAAACTCTGTGAGGAGGAATGTCAGTCGTTGCAGCGTGCTCAGGATTTATTGCAAGGTATCTATAATTGATCTTATATGTGGAATGATATTTTTTGAAAACATGATATCTGCTTTGTATGGTGAAGCTACCTTAGGGGGTGTTAAGAAATATTTTTTAACATTTGTCACGTTGCTATAACAGAGAAAACAAATTCTCAAATCAGTTTTTCAAACCTAGCCAGTTACCATTTGCGGTCGGGTGGGAATCGGTTGCTCCTAAAACTGTGCCACCGAAAATCGGTATCTAGCTTGGCCGGATAAGCTTCATATGTGAGAAGCGTCCTGCATGCTGGTAAGATCATAAACGATGAAAGCGTCCGGTGTGGTAAGAGAGAGAGAAATTACAGATTTTTGGATCTTCAAATAAAAGATATCCAACATTTGGCGCGGGTGTGGGTTGTTTTCACTTGTCGCGATGTTCATATTGCAATGACCAGGTCAGATGTACTGTATATCTAATCTTTTCTTTATTACAAATGGTCGCTTTTTTTAATTCCAGGACTTGAAGACTCTGATGATGATGACCTCGATATGGACTATAATAACCAACGACTTATCAAAGATCTACTCGCGACTCTGTATTCGGGAAGTGACGAGGAATGTTCGGTATGCCTCGACTCCCTGGTCGAACCAGTCATCACTCGTTGTGCGCATGCCTTCTGCCAGCAGTGCATCATGGATGTGATAACATCAGAGAATCTTGCTCCGCACTGCCCTCTGTGTCGTGCGCCCCTTAATGAGAACGAACTGATTAAAGTTCCCGAGAAGAAGAAACAAACATTACCGCCTGCAGAGAAAACTAGCAAGGAATCGGAAGGAAAAGAGAAAAGTTCTAAGGTCTGAAAGTGTTCTTATAGGCAGTGTTTCGTTGTGTAGCTGTGAAAACCAAACTGACTAAAGCGCGGGAAAACGCTAGCGACCAAGCCGCCATTGGTCTTATTTTGCCATGTGATTGGTCGAGAGGGTGGTTTGAGTTTTCTAGTTCAATCACAGAGCGAACGAAATTTATAATTTTTAGAATTTTTTGTTCGATACTCATATGGAAGTCGCCTAATTTTATTGATTTTGTCACCTACAAGATTTCATCGAGATCTCTGTGTTTTTAGTTGAATGCCTTGATGAGAGCGTTATGTGCCATCCAAGATAAGGATCCCTCTACAAAAAGCCTTGTAGTTTCTCAGTTCACGTCATTTTTGGATCTCATCGAAGAGGCGCTTCACAAAGAAGGCTTCACTTTTGTCAGGTTGGACGGGAGGATGATGCAAGAGGCCCGGGCCCGAGCTATAGAGAGCTTTGCCGACACTAGTTCCAGTTCACCAACAGTGTTTCTGTTGTCACTTACAGCTGGTGGCGTGGGCCTGAATCTGACAGCTGCCACACGAGTTTTTCTCATGGATCCGGTATGTTCCAACACTTTGCGTTGTAAACATTGCATGAATAGCATCAGGTCTACCTAGTATTCATTTGAAGAAGGTCTGGACTCCGTAAACTCCTCGCATATTTATAGGCAAACGATGCTGCGACAGATAGTAACGAGACATACTTATACTTTTCTGTGGTGAATTGATGTTTTAGGCTTGGAATCCAGCCATTGAAGAACAGTGTTTTGATCGTAGCCACCGACTGGGTCAAACGAAAGAAGTTATTATTACTAAGGTTGGTGTTGAAGATAGTTCTGAATCTTAACCGGGCGGCGTTGCTTGTGCAGTGTCGTTGACTGTGAGCTTATCTTTCAGTACATTGTGATGAATTCCGTGGAAGAACGCATGCTTACATTGCAAGAACAGAAGAGAACGCTGATGAGCCAGGCCTTCGGTGTACAGAGGCAGAGCCAGGAAGAGAGGAGGCGGGCTCGAGTCCGAGATATCAAGCATCTGATTGGTCTATGATGAAGGAAATATGGACATTTAACGACTTTTGGATTTGCCAAAAATGGCTGAATCGTATACAGCATTTGACTTTGACTCGTCTTTCATTGTTAGATTCTCGTTCATGTTAAGGAAGAATTTAAAAACTCTCCAAAGGCAAGTGAAAAAAAGGTGCAACTGTTTTGAAATCAAGATGAACTGAAAATGTTCCGTTTAGTGACGTTTGATCCACCAATATCACGACTCGCCAAATTCCCTTTCACTTAGAGCTTTAAATACAGAGCCCCTTAGAATTAAAAAAATGCCCTCTCAAGTGAGAGAAAACTTGATGATAGCGTCGAATAACAATGCTTGTGATGTTTCCGTGAAATAAGTAAAGGATTACGGTTTGTAGCACTGTAGAAGACAGTTGCTTGTTTCTAGAGGTGACTTGTTTTCCTGTTTTATCAATTTCTCTGATGTCTTTTTTAATAAGGTTCTTTAAAATTGAATGAGAAGGTTTGTATTTTAAAAGATAGATATCCATTAGAAATTAATTCAGACATGCTAAACAACTCGGAATATTATACACGTATTTTAATTGAAGATGTATATTTATGTGGTGATAGTAACACCTGCTGGTGATGAAGTCACCCGAGGTTGCTAAATAGTATTAAACAACTTTTGAATTTTTTGCTCTGGCTATTTGTTTAAAGTATTCACTGGGAGGGAGATATCACGCGATGACACTGTAACTCAAGTAACTTTCCAAAATCGTCACTTGGATGATCATTTGGCGAGTAGGTGTGAAATGTTTCACTGATATGTGACTATTCCAAATTATTTCACTTGAATGGTGTCAAAAATGAAGAGGTTAACTGTGCGAGACTTCAAGGCTTAGCGACCTGGTGTCAATGTCACGTAAGCACTTGTCACGCGAAGTAATTAACAATGTCCCTTGTCTTTGGCTTGTCACCGGATATCTCGCGTAGCTTTGTGATGCGGTCAGCTTCCGAGACAAGGGAATGTAGTTTTGTGGCTTAAGCTTACCATTTGGACGATTCTCTAATAATCTTTAGTTTTCAATCGTGGGCTTGGTGAACATGGCCTCGTCGCTGTTAATTCTTGTCACTTACGTATTATGTGCGAGAATATCAGCTGAGTTTCAGGGACCTGACACCCAAAGCAATCCCAAAGATGACGGCAGCGATGACAAAGAAAAGGCCAAACTAAGGTTTGCTATTTATCGTGAATACTCTAAGCTCTCTTTAGACTATACCTGGTTAAAAAAAAAAGTTAAGTTTCTATCTTCAACTGCCTGCCGTTGAACTTCTCGTCAACGTAAAGTATACATAAGATATTTTTATTATTATGACGTGTGACGATGAAAGGCTTGGGTCTACTTTAAGAGAATTATTGAATTTCTGAAACAGGACAGGTTTGATAATTTTTCCCCTAGAAGAAATGTTTCTTTATATACGTGTGTGTTGAAAACTATTGAACAGAATTCTCCGTAATTCACGGAAATCTGTACCGTTACAAATGTGTTGCGTGACGATTAAACACTGACTGTTCTACCCTCGTCACTCAATGTTTCAAAGAAGCTTTCAGATGGCTAAAAAGAAACTAAGATTTTGGTAAAAGCTATCATCTCAGGTTTTATAGGAGAACTTTCTAGGGTTCCAGGGCGGATGCCGTGCCTAGGTTGCATTATTCAGTTTTGTATACTTTGAATTAGCAACTGGTAAGGTGAGGACCACTTTCAAATTCTTCTGATAATGAAATCATAAGTTGCTTAACAAAACTGTTTTTTCTCCTTGCATTGTAGGTCAGTTTTATTATTGATTGATCGAAACGGTGACAGTGAAATTTCAGTCAAAGAACTCTCTGCTTGGACTCAAAAGAGCATGAGAACTTTTTACAGACAAGAGGCCGACGGTAGACTGAGTTCACTGGACTCTAACAAAGACAGCAAGGTTTCCTGGGTAGAGTATGTCAAGGGTGCTGAAAACGAAAACGGTAAATATTGTGACACCTCTTACCCGCCCTAAGAGGGTCCCCCTGTCCCCTTACAAAAATGATGACGCAATGTTTTGATTTCTCAGTATTTCCCAATTTTCACTCTTTTTAAGGACCCTTCCTTTCTACCCTCCCATCTATCGAATTAATTCTCGGTTTGCGGCAGGAGCCCGTTACTAGACTCCTGTTTGCGGCTGCTGTGGTAGTGAGAATTATTCTTCAACACTTTTGCGGCTGAAACTTTACGTTTAAAGTGTGTGACATTCTAATGGATCATTATTTGACAACTTGAAACTGCACGATGGTTTTGTTCCCAATTATATCAACTTGCAGGTTTTACAGAAAAGCAAAAAAGGCGTGATAGGAGAAGATTTGAACACGCTGATGCAAACAGAGACAGTTTGCTGTCACGCGATGAACTGATTTCCTTATTCCACCCCGAAGAAAGCGCAAATATGTTTGGAGTAATAGTTGAGGTAAGGAGCTGTGCTTGAAAAGTCCTGATATGAGTTATTTTTTGACCTATATGCTGATACGCATGACATTATTTTCTACAGAATTACAAACCGAAAACAAAATTTATGTTAAAAGGGGTGAGTTTCTAAAGAAACTGTGGTGCTGTGTGTCGGTGGGGGAGTACAGCAAGATAACTGGATTTTATCAACTGAGTTGATAATGTAAACTGGCCACCGTAAATAGTTTAAAAGCTGAAGTTTTGAGCGTTTGAAGGGCTAACGCTCGAAACGTCAGCTTTTAAACCTTTTCCGGTGGCTAATTAACATTATCGACTCAATTGATTAAAACAAATCATCAACTTTTATGTCAACTTTATTCCATTCTGAGCCAAAAGCTAAAACTGAAGGTGATTTTTTTTAGGAGTTCATGGAATACATTGATAGCGACAATGACGGTTTTCTATCATTTAAAGAGTACAAAGGTAAACCTCTTTCCTTTGAATTTGTTTTCCATGTTAGGTCTGACCTTACTTATAAGTTTACTGAAAGAGTTTACAAACACTTTTGAATTCCTCTGAGATGCTGATGATAAGTTTGAAATTATGCTGATTAGTTCACGCACTGTTTATTTCCATGTAGGGAAAACAGCAGATACTGGAAACGCGGATGAACACTCAGCGAAAGAATCCTTTAAGAGACTGGATAAAGACAGTGATGGAAAACTTAACAAAGTATGCATAGCATATAAGGGATATTTTAACTTTGAATTGTTCAGAAAACCGACCAATTCATGATTAAGAATTTTTGGGCTAGTCAAGATATGTAGTTCATTGCTGAAAAGTTTCTCAGGCGGGCTCTACTAAAGGATCAGATGAAGGAGTTTGAAAACATGCAACAAAAACAGAGCCTTGGGCTTAATCTGAAAAAAACTGAACTGGGAAGTAAGGAAACGTTGGGAGCAATTTAATCGTAGTTTCTATCTCAGCTGATTTTACCTTCTTTCCTGTCCTAAGGAGGAGATGAAGCTGTGGTTAGCAGCAGTAAACACCTCGGCCCAAGCAAATAATCAAGCACAAAGACAAGTTAAATTAGCCGACGATAACAAGGTAATCTATTTTCAGATGATGAAAGATGCGTGATAGTTGAGTGTAACCGGAGGGTGTGCCCCAAATTCCCGTCTATTTTCTACATACCTTCGTCTTTTGGATAGTACCACCTCTGGAAGAGGTGGTGGAACGTTTTAAATAGTGGGTTATAAAAGAAGGTGCGTCACCGCAAATTAGGCCGAGCCCATGCTTCTATCAAAATTTCCTTGAATGTCTTTCAACTTGTTCGTTAGCACAAGCAAAACTTTTATGTAATCTTAACTGTGTCCAGTGTGACTGAAACCAACTTGTGGCAATAAAGAAGTCGATAGTTGTTCCAATTTATTTTGTCAAGCGCGATGAAAAGATTTTTCGAAAGATCACGAGAATGTGTAATGTAGTGCGTTTCTAATAATTTCCACACTGAAACGCAAAAGGAAGGGACTGCGCCTATGTCCCATATCCCTTGGAGATTCACAGACTTATTTCTAGAGAGGCTTATCGTCTTCAGGACATCATTTTTTCATCTGTAAATACACACAGGATGGTGTTTTAAGCGAAAAAGAAATCATGAACCATATGGAGATTTTCACCGCCGGGCCTGAAGGATTCCAAACAAGGCAAAAAGTTAAAGACGAATTGTGAAGACACTTAGTATAAAATACTCTTCTCTGGTCCCTCTGTTCGTCTTCTAAAGATGCAAACACTGAATTGAAGAGAAAAGGAAACAGAGAGGATGAGATAACAATAAGGGAAGCAACTTAAAACGAAAATACAACGGTCACTCTACGTTTTGAACATTGGTTGGTGTTTTTTTGTAAGAAACTTGGGATCACGAAGATCTCATATAAGTACGCACTCTTTTAGACCAGTGGCTTATTGAAACCAAACTTGGGAATCGCGTGATATGACAACCACAAGCCCACGATTATTTTTGCATATTGTCAGCGGTATGGTCTCCAAGAACGACCACACCGCTGACAAGAAGCCGAGATCGCCCTGGGCTCAAGATCTGTGATGTGATTGAGTGAAATTATACTATTGTAGGTAAACTTGGAATACCATTATCATTGGTTGAAAAAAACACAATGTTTCACGATGGTGCTAAGTCATTTGTTTGTTTAAAATCTTGTTTATACATGTTTTTGAATGAAATTGAGACTAATGGCTTATTTTCATGCTGTTCTGGTTCAACAAGTTTGTCTATTAATCCCCGAATTTCTTACCACAATACCTTATAAATAACCTTGAAAAAAATGAAGCTTAAAAGCTTAGCAGGCGAAATCAATGCAATAGTTTTGATAAGCGACCTATCAGTTCGCTAGAGAAATCGAAATACTTGTCTAGGAGGACCATAGTTTGTAATATTAGACAAAACTGAAATATCACAGTTGGCTTTTGTAAAGTGGTAAGGAATACGCGTTAAAAAGGCTTGTGTATTGCATGCATGCATGCATTAGAAATTGATATTGTGATGTTTCCTTGGGTTTTTATTTAGAATTTACCATTTCCTATTACGTAGCCAGCGGGAGGCTCTGACGAAAGGTGGGATGCGGAAAAAATTGATATGCTGACTATGCTTGTAATTTTGGTAAATACAAAGAAAAGTGTAGTGCACTTTAAAGGATTTTTGGCTGTTTCATGATTCACCGGACATTTGACACAAAAGACTTGTATTCCGTGTTGCTCCACACTCTCCCCCCTCGGCTCACTTTCTACGTTAAGTGGCATAGTTTATAGAGACCCTTTTGTTAGATGTTTGACGACATTATTTTCGGCACGGTAGATTGCGCATCAGCCGATACCATAAGCTACGTGGCTTCACACGAAGCATACAACGTGTACTATACTTGACAAAATCTTGGATCACCGATACAATATATGCCGGTTTAGTTAAACTTGTCATAAGATAGTACAAAGCGCTCTTTAAGTAAAGCACACGAACCTTAGTTTCACAATGTTTCGAGTTTGGAGTTCGTATTGTCTTGTGTTGTGTTGTGGTTGCATTTTGTATGCGTCCGCTTTCTCATCGCAAAAAGATACAAAGAAAGTTTCTAAAGAAGATACCGAAAAGAAAGTCAACAATACTGTCACGTAAGTAATAAAACACACGTGTAGCTATGTAGTATTCAAGAAGATGTTGGGAATTGGGATTGTTTGTCGTTGTAGAATATTTCAAATTGGCGTCAGTTTAGGGGTATTTGAAAGCCGAACGAGATGGAATTTGTTTGTTGGTTCATTTGTTTGTATGCAAGTCAATTAGGAAGCTAAAGGCCAAGTGTTTGTACTTTTTTGCCGCTTCTTTGATTTGGAATTTTTCCTTTTTGGACCAGACTCCAAAAAAGCAACATTTCAAACGTAAACTAGACCTCTGTCCCTTAACTGATCAATGTTCAATGACCGTGACATGATGTTAAAATTAGCATAATGAGCAAAACCGCTGTCTGTTGAATTCCTTCGAAGCTTTGAAAAAAAAAATGGCAGAAGGATAATTCTGTAATATTTTGAAAGAAAAGCGATATAACTGCAATAAAGCACACCCCATAGGGTTCCTGTACTTACATATTCTAATTTATTTCTCTTTCCGCGTTAATTGCAGTTTACTTCTTGAAGTCATGGATACGGACAAAGATGGAAAAGTAAATGAAGAGGAAATGACTGCCTGGATTAGGAAAACTTTGAGGAAAACTTACAAAGAGGATTCTGGGCAAATTATGAGTGAATTGGACACCGACAAAGATGACAAACTTTCTTTCGAAGAACTTCTCAAAACCCAAGAAGACATTGGAGGTAATTGCATAGCTCTTGAAGTTTGCAATTTAATTGTGAGTCTGTTTGCTACACAAACTCTCATCTTCCTTATAGACGCTTTTTTTTTTGACGCTCCTTTTTAATAGAGTCACCCAAAAATGCATCTAAAAATAAGCTTGTACGTAAATCGGTTATATATTTCCCTTGTTATTTAATCGTTATTTAATTTGTTTGTTTGTTTTTGCTTTTTGTTTTGTTTTGTTTGTTTTTTTATTGTAAGTATATTCTTTGTCTATTTTTCTATTAATTATTATTATTTTTATTATTATTCACTATTTATTCCCTACAGTCGCTACAGAAGAACAAAAGCGAAAAAGATTCAATGTTGCAGATGCCGACAAAGATGGCCTCCTGAACACTGATGAAGTCACTTCCATGTTTCACCCAGAGGAGAGACCTCACATGTTCGAAGTGATTATTGACGTAAGATTCTTTTTTTCCCTTCAGATTATGCTTCAGCCCTTGCCTTGCAAGGACTCGGCATGTACAACAGTTGGTCAAAAAAATTTGCGCCTCCTCTCAACCAATGGGATGCAAATTAAAAACTCGGCAAGCACGACTCGGTCACTTACGATTTCCCGCCGGAAATCGTTGGTAGATTTTTTTGTTTTTTACTTCAAGTTCTCTTTGGTTGGCTCCTTGTGAAGTTTCCTTTTCTCTGATCGGCCAACGTAATTTTTTGGTGTTAGTGTCACGATAGTCAATCGAAAAGTTTGCTAAATAACCTTTATTCCACCATATAGGAATACATGGAAGTAGGAGACATAAACGGTGATGGACTTCTTTCGCTAGAGGAGTACAAAGGTAATTAGTATTTTTTTAACTACTTCAGGAGCTGAATGAATTAGTCGAGGAACGTGATTTGGATTTTACTTACAAACGAGACAATTTCTTTCAGAAAAAATGTTCAAAGGAACTAAAGAAAATCTGGAAGCTGCTGATAAATTCTACGGAGAACAAGATAAAAACGGAGATGGAAGTTTCGACAGGGTAAGTTATTTATTTTTCATTTCTTTTTAACTGAGCATTGATTTAAGGGATTAGTCATTATTTTATAGCTTGGGGGAGGGGATGGGGGTGGAAGATGGGTGGAGGGTTTTGGGGATAACATGGCTTCCAGGGTAAACGGAGTATAAAGAGAGAATATAGAAAATTGAATGGCACTTACCTGCCAATAAAAGGGGGGGGGAGGGGAGGGGGTTCGTAGGAATATTACAGAATCTTGGCGGGGGGGGGGGATCAGAGAAATTGTATCGTGACAACCGATAATGATGAATAATGGCTGGTCCCTTCATTAAGGCTTTTTGTGTTATGAGTAACTGTCAAAGTAATCAGTGAAGAATCGTAAATTTTGATTCATATGTCCATGGGTTTTCGCCAAATCGTCGGGATTCTTCGGAAAGTATCCGCTGAGGTCGGGTATGCACTAGTACCGCACCAAAGAGAGGCTTCGTGGCTGAGCCTTGGTTTCAGTTGAAATAAAGTTTGATTATTTATCGATGTTCTTTCTTCCAGGAGGAAATAAAAGAGTGGTTAAGGTCAATTGGTACTTCGTCTTTGGCTAAGAGACAAGCAAAGCAAGTTCTTGAAAGGGCGGACGATAATAAGGTTAGCCGTTGTGGCTATCACGAGGCCACACCCTCGTTTTCTGTCTCCAGTTCCGTGTCAGGGCTCTTGAAGGAAAGCTGTAGCTGAATGAAGGGAGGGGCGCTTATTCGAAGGAGGGCGCTTAATCGAGGGCGGCGCTTATTAAGATGGCGCAGCAGTGGGACAAAAATCAAAAGAACAGATATCGCAGAGAAAGGAATTATTCAAGCAAATGGAGATAGAAATAACTAGAATGGGAAAGAAACTTTCTTTTTTTACCGATTCAACTGTAATTGAAGCCTAAAAAATATATATGAAGTGGCAAAAGAAACAGGTTTCACTTGTATCCCTGCTATTTAAGAATAGTATTTAAGAGGGGGAGGAGGGGGGTCCTTACTCGAGGGGGTGCTTGTTTTATATATTGGCCAAGGGGGGTTGGCACTAATTTGGAAGAGGGCGTTTATTAGAGCGTGGGCGCTTATTCGAGGAAATAGAGTATTTTGCATTCTCATAATGTAATATCTCTTTATTTTTCTAGGATGGTGCTATCACTGATAGCGAAATTCTCAAGAATATCGATCTTTTCACTTCAGTTAGAGCAGTTCTGGAAAATGAGAAGAGAAAGGCCGAAGAGGCTGAAAAGACTGAAAAGGCTAAGGTTGAACTTTAGAAACAGCGAGATTTTTTGTTAGTCTTTTTTCTCTTTGATACTAAACAAGTGTATGTCTATGAAGTTCCTCAGACAAAATAAAATAAAATAATTATAAAACTGATTACACTTCGATCACGTTGAATAATTTATTTATCATTTTAAAGAAAAATGTTGATAAAAATAAATAGAGAATCATCAGTTTCATATATGTTCCAAATACACCAAAATGTACAGTGCATTAGGTGTTAAAAAAGTCTGCGAAGAATTGTTGCACAATCAAACTTCACAGTCAAACAATCAGCTTTTTAAGACTTGCGTTACATTAAACAGAATTCTGTATCCCTTCTGTCCGCGAGTAATCTGATAGTATTCCTCTACCTCTTCCCCTTCCCACTCCCCCTCGGTCTCCTCTTCGCGAGTAATTCCTGTTAAGTATTTTCCTTGCGCAATCTTTTAAACCAAAGTTCACAAGTGAATCATCTTGAATGAATGATTAGAAATGATTCAATACACTGAGAGCAAAAACACATGTAAATTGAAGACAAACAGAGTAAGTTTTTTTTAAATCCAGTATTTGAAAACTGGATTTTAAAAAACTCTCTTCATACAAGATATTTCCTTTTTTTTTTACGAGTTTTTGATCGGCTATGGCATGCATTTTAAGATCTTTGTCTGAACAGCCAGAGACAATGCTTAGCCGCCGACACCGGTAAAGCTCACATTCAAGTACTTTGGTCTAAAGACAAACAATCAAATATCAGTTTAGCTTGAATTTAGATTACACGCTAGACTGCCTCGCTAATTCAAGACCCTTTGTGTCAGAGTATAATACATTGATATCGGAATGGTTGTTTGGTCTTAGATGACTCGGTGAACATTTTTTTTTCGTTTATGTTAAGATATCCACTAGATTTTAAACTCGATAAGAAACTGTGAGAGATGAAAAACATGCAGTTATAAATCCAATTCTGATGTAATTCTCGAAGAGCATTGTAAGATTTGATTTTTAAGTTCGCGGTATAAATATTTCTGGATAAAGTTATTTCGTGTTTCAAGGGCATTATGTAGGAGTTAAAACTGTTTGAAGTACTTTTGTCATACGGCTTGTACTGGGGCACTAATATGTTTGACTGACAGCCGACATAACGGAAGGATGCGCATCGTCCAATATTCTGAGAAACGTGGCTTTACACGAAACGATATCAGGTGCCTTTAAATTCAAGAACTCTCAGAAAAAATTCATCGTTTGTTGGTCCGTCTGTCAGTTCAGCTCGTGTAATTTTGTTGCGTTCGTGCGATTGAAAATGCTCCGAGGTCTCAGCATTGTGGGTTTCGTTTCGCTCTGTGTATGCACCCTGAGTGTGTCGGCCACTAAACTGTTTTACCCGCCATTAGCCAAAGTATCGGATGAAGACCATTACAAAAAGGGGGAACATAATCTTGAATACGACCATGAAGCTTTTCTCGGCCGAGCACTATCTTCGGAATGGAGCAAACTACCTGCCGACGAAGTGATGGAAAAACTTTCGTAAGTAGCTTTGTTGCTCTGTTACTCCGTCGTTTACTCAATTAATAAGTTTGTTTTTCCTACTGTCGGAAAATTACACCACCAGTATGAGGAGAACACAAAGAATTCTCGGTACTGTATAGCACGTTGTGAGGGGGCGCTCTCGCTAATAGAATAAACGTCCCTTCAATGGTGCGTTGTAGATTAAGGTTATGGAAACATTATTTTAAGTTCAAGTTCTTTTGATTGACTGTTGTCCCATAGAAGAGGTTACATTTCATTTTAATGGAACATTTAGATGGACAAAATCAAGTGAATCGTCACTTTTATAACTCCTAGAACTCCTTCATTTTTAAAAATGGCTAATATAGCCGGGAAACGCATTCAAAATACAGCGATTGTGTTTAGCTATGAACCTAATTTTAGCAGACTTTTGAGAAGGGATAATATTCTATCATTTTGCTCCGCAACTTTCTGTAATGCTTACTCACGATGTAGATCAATTTTTTCCAGTCGTTTGATGTCAACAGCTTTGTGTGTTAAACCACAAAATTGCCAGAGACACGGTTTGAAAATGACGTAAATCAATGATCTTAACGTCATAACTATTTGTGGTTCATTTCTGACCTACTGTGAGATTGCTTTTGATAGACGTTACCATGACAACTGAACAAGTCAATATGTCTAGGACCTAAGCCAAGCTTGAACGATTAAGATCATTTGAAAAGACGCTGAACAAACGCAAATTTTCCGCCTTCGAGACCACACAAGAGTGTGTCTTTCAAGAATTTATAATATTGCAATTAATCGTACCAAGGATTTGAAAAGAAATTACGAAACTTGTTGTTTTCTTTCAGCGCTAAAGACATAAAAGTGTTCCATTGCTCTCAAAGGATTCTTCTCGTAACAGAATATTTTTCGCATCAAAAGTTACAAAGTGGTTAAACTGGTTACCAGGACTTTTTTTCGGTCTGAGTGGTCAAAGCGAACATTTAGATCGAACGCTTCATCGTGGTGACTCTTGGAACCAGCTATATGATAATGCCATAACCTCATCCTTAGGAAATTTGCATTTCATTCCATTTCAATTTATTTTCAAAATCATTGATAAAATTTTCATCAACACTTTCCGGTATTCTAAAGTAAAAGACGTTTTTCTTCATCTCTCGATAACAGGGAACTGTTCCCCAAAATAGATGTCGATAGCGACAAGAAAATCTCAATTCCTGAGCTGTATGGATGGATTGAACAGCACATGAAAAAACATGTGTTGCGCCAGGCTGATCTAAAAATGCAGGATATGGATTCGAACAAGGACGGCAAGGTATCATGGGAAGAGTACAGGGAGACCCAGTACCCTTCGTCCACAGAAAAAGGTGAGAAATTCTGTTCCATACGTTCACATTCTAACCAGTTTAAAATTTTATTTCCTTGAGGAAATATCTGTCCCTTTGGGAAGAAACATGAAATCCCTTTATCGTTCATTAATTGGTTTGAAGTTCTTGGTGAAAAAATAAACAATTTGTGTCTAAACCGGACGTCTTCCGGAGGTCCCGAATCCCACTCACATGGAATTGAACAAGTCTTCGTTGTATCTATTGAAGGCCTCAAAGAGAAAGGTCTTGGGGAATTCAAGATATTAGTCTCACGTGAAAAGAAGCGATTTGATTTTGCTGACACAGACAACGATAAAGTACTGTCCCGTGAAGAACTGTCATTTCTCCTCCATCCCGAGGAGTCCAAAAGGATGACTTCGTACTTCATTGAGGTAAGTGTCACGTGATTCGTACAAATGCTGAGGAAAACTGTCTATTAGGTCATGGAATACGTCATCGTACTCAAACAATTTAACATTTTCTATTTTTTTTTCGCCTTGTCAGGAAAGTTTGGACATCTTTGACACAGACAAGGACGGAAAAATATCCGTTGACGAATACCTTGGTATGTAAATTAACGTGTTCATTTCGCTATTCTCTGAGGACATCTGCATATCCATGTGATGGAAGGTCTTCCTGAATCTAATTTTTTCCCGTGCAAAGGAATGTGTTTCTCCCCATATTAGATAAGGCATAGAACATACAATTTGTGCGCGTTATGTACGGCTACATGTTTGGAATCAATTAGTTTTCGTGTTGCTTGGTTTTGAGCCATAGTCTTGGAACGAACTCAGAATCAATTGTTCTTTTTTTAGCCTGCTGACATCAAGATCATTATGCTTAGCTATTTCAGGTGTTTGCCTGATAATTTAACGAGAGGGGGAGTAGAGGGAGGGGATAAGATTAAACATGGAGAGTAAAATGATTGCTTCTTTTTTACTGATTTATCACAACAGGGGATGAAGTGAACAGGCTTTCTAAGTCAATGCTTGATGTGCTCAAAAAAAGTTTTAATAAAGAACTAGACTCGAACAAGGATGGATTTCTTGACAGGGTACGTCTTTTCTCAATATAGGAGGTGCGAATGGGTATTTTCTGTTCTTTCATAGAAGACGAATCAGATCATTTTATAGAGACTAGGCCGGGGCTCGTTTGCCACATTTTCGAGCTGGCTGAGATTAAAAAAATGCAACCTCAAAAAAGCAAGAAAATATCATTTGGTAACAAGAATAGTTTAGGATTGCAAACGACGAACTATAAAAAAAATAAGGCTTACTTTTTAAAGATATATTAGCCTCGACGTAGTTCGCCTAGGTGAAAGGCATGATGGAGGGTATTTATCGCTTTTCTTCTTTGTATACCTGCAGAACGAGATTCGAGAATGGATCTTTCCCGGCGCGCATGAGGATCCTATATTAGTCGAGGCAAAACATCTTATGAAGGCAGGCGATGACGACAAGGTAATGATTTGATTGAGACCTGTCACTCTTAACATTATATTACTTCAATAAAGAGCGTTGTTCAATCCATCTGAGGAAATGAAGGTGACGTCAGCAGCTTGGCGACAGCTTGGCAGGTTCAGATCTGACATGTGCACTGCTGTTAGGATAAGTTTTTCAGTCTTTAAAAGCTTTAAGTGTCATACTTGGAGACAAACAAACAGAAAATGTGTAAACAGTACTTTGTCAACCTATGATGTTTTATTGTCTTTAATCTGACCTGTATTAAAATACAACATTTAACTGTTTTGTTTTGTTTGTTTTGCAGGATACTTTCTTGACAGAAGATGAACTTATAAAGCACTATGATATTTTTGCTGGAAGTCGAGTAACTAGCTACGGAGATCTCCTTAAAGATGAATTATGAAACAGATTCAATGTAGCGACCCCATCGGATTGTAGATTGTAATTTTTTTGGTTTCTCGCGATATTGCGCTGATCAACTACCGCATTAGAATAATACGCACTGTTGATCTGTGACCTTGTAGAATCATCATTATCGCTAAACATATATTATCGTATCCTCGTTTTTCCTACATCCTTCATCTGTTGTTTGTCCTTTATATCGTGTGTTAGGAAAAACTTGAAATAAAAAAGAGAGAACTAGGCGTCAATGTGGTGGGGGAAGATGAAAATAGCCCGTATTTTGTACCGAGGGACTCGACTCATGTCAAACCACTTGGGTCCTCGAATAATTAATATCACAGTCAATATCAAGTTCCTCTTTCATCAACTGAGT